AAAAGAAAAAAAAAAAAAAAAAAAAAGGCTATGCTATATGTGAAAGGTAACGGAGGGAGCAAGGGAAACCAGATTTGATTCAGACATTTGGCAAATTTTCTCATTTGTAAATCTGAACAGGTGCTTTAAGTTTCGGGCTGTTTGAACCGTCATGCCCTCAGATAAAATAGTGCAGCATTCTAAAGGAGAAGGGATATAGATGCAAGCCATATTGATGTTGCCTTTGCCCATTATTTAAGATAATTTTCTTTTCTTGCCTTTTCAGGTACTATGCTATCTGCTGCCAGCCATTGGTTTACAGGAATAAGATGACTCCACTACGCATTGCTTTAATGCTGGGTGGCTGCTGGGTAATCCCAATGTTTATTTCTTTTCTCCCTATAATGCAAGGCTGGAATAGCATTGGCATCATGGACCTGGTGAGTAGATCTCAGTTGCCTGATGTGAAACCTATTCCAGGTCAAAATCAAAAGACCTCTTTTTTTTTCTTTGCCTACAACACTGTTTAGCTTTGAAAGATTGTGTTCTATTATAATGGATTTAAAGTATAAATTATATACATTATAAATGTGTATTTTTCCCCTCTAGACCAGCCTTTCTCAACCTTTTTTCTTTGGAGGAACCCTTGAAATAATGTTCAGGTCCCATAAAAATGGCAACAATTCATATTCACTTCTAATCTGCGCAATCCCCTTTTTGCAAATTTTACCACAGCAGCAAAGCAGCAGGCCAGCAGCTGAGCCGTGGTGCATAAAAATTCCCACCACTGTGAGTGCTAGCATTGTGCAATGCACAAAGTTCATTTTTCAGTGATGATCCCTCATGGAACCTATAAATGACCTCTTGTGGAAGTCTAGAATTCCACAGAATCCCAGTTGTGAAATGCTACACTAGGCCCTCAATATTTTGAACAGTTTAAAATTCTATCATAATAAAAGAAAGTTGCAAGAAAAAAACAATAAAAATAAATATTTTTGAAGTAAGACAAAATAATGTTAAAATTGATTCGTTGCTGTATATGATCCTAGATTAGTTAAACTACAACCCAGTCAGATTTGAGCTAGCCTGACCTCTGAGCGGAGGGGTAGCATCCAAACGTTTTAAGGACAACTCCACTTAGTCCATGTTTGTTGCTGTCTATATGGAAACTAGCACAGGCCTTGAGTAAGAACAGGTGATGGACCTCTTGTGTGATATTCTGGCTTTTCTAAATAACTTGCTTCTTTTTAGATTTTTTATGGTTGTAGTATTTTTATTGTATTTTTACTGTGTAAGCCACCCAGAGTCATAACAGATTAGAGCAGCCTATAAATTTCATAAATAAAACAAAAAAATAACAAATGGATACTGTGACAATCCAGTCCAAATATTTCAAAATGTTTCCAGAGAACGTACACCATCACATCTGGGATCAGGAAGCTAAATTTTTCTCCATATCATAGAGCTGAGTAAATGTACCATCCAAAATGTATGTTACTTGCATTTTCAAAATGGCTTTAACCATCAGGCAAACTCTTCAACTTGCTGTTCTCTTCTATTTGTGGCTCACTGTGATTTGGATGGTTATTATAAACTTGAGTCCTTCGTTGTTAGAGATTTATATGGCAATGGAAAGTTTGCTCACTGAATCCTAGAACTGGAAATGTCTGTAAAGTTAAGGTTATATTTAGTCCATTCCAGTACTCTGTGTTCGTTTATTTTAAAATGTTTGATTAAAAGTAAAAGAGTTAAAACAGGGCTGGGACATTCATTACCCCAGAGCCCCTTTACTGCCTTTAGATCTATTGTTATAAGCCCCGGTATTCTCTTTGGCCACAGCAGTTAGAGTGGTATCCCATAATCCTGCGGTCAAAAGCACACAAAAATAATAGTTAACTTCTAAAATAGGCTAAAAGTATCATTTCTTTCTCAAGCAACCCTCCAAGACCCAGGTGGAAACAATAGAAAAGCCTGGCCTTGTCCAAGTGAATATGTTCGTATTGTGTTCATATTGTACTTCTGATGGGGGAGATCTTGGTTACATAAGACGAAACATGTCTATTTGAACAGAGGTAGATCTGAGGATGCTTTCTGGAAGAGTGGTTTCCTTAAGGGAATCCCTATAGTTCAAGGATAGGCAATCTTTCCACCTTTTTTGGGTGTGCCCAGACTATCTGAAGTTATAGTATACCTTTTGGAAAAAAAGTCACGGAACTTTGTTTTTGTACACAATAACTGCAGCGAGATTATTGTAAGCACAAAGATGGAAAGATTCAGCAATACCTACAATGGAGGAATGGTTGGTAAAGATGATGGAACTTGTTGAGATGGCTAAATTGACTTCTTTGATCAGAGAAAAAACAATATCTGCATTTACTGGAAATGGCATTTACTTTCATTATAGAAAGAAGAGAGCTATGTTGTAACCATAGAGTAAGAGATAAATTTATAATTAGAACTGCTGTAAAGAAGATCAGAAGCTACTTCTTTGTTATCTTTTTTCTTTCTTTTCTATTTTTCTTCTACTTTTTTCCTTTCTTGCACTTTTAGCTTTCTCTTTGATGGAAGTTGTAGTTGTAGTACACCTTTTTTTAAAGTGTAGCACTGAACAGTACAAAAGTAGAATCTGGTGATATGATCCAGGGGCTCTGGGGGTATTAAAAACCTTTAGATAGTCTCTGCCAAGTCTGCCCAGCATATTTGATTTTCATTAGAGCTACTGACCACATGGGAGAACGTGGAGTATTTACGGTTCTACTTATTCTATGACTCATGTAGCCTAGAAGGTTGGGGGTGGAATCAGCCAAATAACATCAAATTTTGGACCATTCTCTTGCCCCCAAGGCTGTTGGGAACTTTTCTAAGCTGTGTATCATGTTTCTACAGTTCTGTAACCACACAGATCCAGGAGCTTCTAAAAATAAGTATTTGGAAGCTTTTGCATTGGAAAGGCCTCTCTGAGCTGTGATGAACTTCAAGGTTTTGAAAGAAAAAAAATATATATGAAGTTTTGAGAGGTACCAGAACTCACTACAGAACCTAGATTTTTTTTTTTTTAACAATTACAAGTGAAAACAAAAGTGAAAGGCAATGCAAACAGAGCTTTAAAAAGAAGATAAGCCTTTTCCAGGAATTCTCAGTGAGAACTCATAAAGATGGAACAAATTTTATTCTACGTCATATCATTTACTTTTGCTTCCTTTCAGGATTTGCAGTTTTATATTCTTTTTCACTCAATGTTGTTAATCAACTCTACTTCCTAAGATTCCTGTTATTTTAAGAAAATTTGCAACTGCCAATAGAGACTTGCATAGCAGTATAAATCTTCATGCCTTATAGACAGCTACAGATAAGTATAAACAATCATCTACAGCAGTGTTGTCCAAACTTGGCCACTTTAAGATGAGTGGACTTCAACTCCCAGAATTCCCCAGCCAG